GGCATGTGTTACTTCTCCCCTCTCCGACTAACCTAGTTAGAACACATCCCACATTCTCCAAACTAAAAACACTTCATCAAACTTTCTCACATATTAGAATCACTGTGAGGCAGATAATAAGTGAAATGAGAGTCTTATTAGTCATACTAAATGATGGTAGCAATTGTTTCCTACAGACATCATGACTTACTCAGCGGCTGCTACAGTTTGACCTTTTAATTTTCAATTATTTTTTACTTAAAAATCATATAAATTGGAAATGGAAGTGATAGCAGTCACATGAGTTTTAATTTTAATTTTCTTTTGGTGTAGGCATAAATATTAACCTTGTTCTGACTTGTTTTCTCTAGGTTGAGCTAAGTAGATGAAGAAAAAGCTCAGATCAATTATATTATAATTTAGTTGATATACTCTAGGACGGAAGTGGCATTTTAAATAACATAATATTCTGGTAAATAGAGTGCTGGTACATAGGACAAGAATTATTATTCATATTTCAAATACTTTAATTATAATACCAAAAATTACTTAATGCAATATTTATATTAAACATAACTGAATCTTGCTTTGATTGACAATATAGAGTGTCCAGCACTTAGAAAATACTTACTAGAGGTGTGTAAAATTGAAATTAAATTAGACCTGTGTTTTCATACAATGAAGGTCTTTGGGGTCATTATTACAAACATAAGTTACTATAGTACCATTTATTTATATGGCATTTTCAACTTTCTAATGCTTTTTAAATTTTTAATTAAAGTTTTGATTGAAATATAGTTGATTTACAATGTTGTGTTAGTGTCTGGTTTACAGCAAAGTGATTCATATACATATATTCATATTCTTTTCCATTATGGTTCATTATAGAATACTGAATATAGTTCTTTGTGATACACAGTTAGACCTTGTTGTTTATCTCATAATGCTTTTTAAACAAGAGATATTTCATTTGATGCTTTCTCTAACTTTGTTGGGTAGGTAAAAGAAGTATTATATTTCTTATTTCATAAACAATATGGGTTGGATAGCTAGTAAGTGATGAAATTAAGAATTTATTCTTAATCTCCTGGCCCCTAGTGTTCTGACTCATATGTTGCTCTTGTAATTTAATATTTGATATCTAGTAATATGCTGAATATTGTATTAATAAAGTTTAAAATAATTTATCCTTAAAAAATCTTTTAAAAACATAGCTTTTGAAATATACAGGTACTTTAAGAACTGGAGTAATATATTTGATTTGCATAATAAAATCTGCCATGCAGACAGCTGCAAATACCTAAATCACCTGGTCCAAAGTCTGGTACAACCCAAGTGCTCATTAAATAGTAGATATTGTTACCTTTGTCAACTTCATGTATTTGGTGTATTTGTTACTACATATTTGATTTTATGCTAGCTGTCTGTGTGTTGTGTGCTCAGTTGCTTCAGTTATGTCCGCCTCTCTGTAACCTATGGACTGTAGCCTGCCAGGCTCCTCTATTCGTGGGATTCTCCAGGCAAAAATACTGGAATTGGTTGCCATGTTCTTCTCCAGGGGATCTTTCCAACTCAGTAATCGAACCCATATCTCTGTCATCTCCTACATTGCAGGCAGGTTCTTTACCCACTGAGCCACCTGGGAAGCCATGTTTGATGCTTGCTAATTTTTTTCTCCTTAATCACATCGCAAACCTCTCATGTTATACTTTATAGACACTGTCCACAGTACCTAGCTCAGTCCTGGCCACATATTTGAGTTTTAACTACTGGGATAGAACTGTAGCTTCTGGTGAAAAGAACACTGGATATGGAGTCAGGAGATCTAGATAGCAGTAAGTTATCTTGATTAAATATCTTTCCTTTCTCTGAGCCTCCTCAATGCTTTCATTTGTAAAATTTAGGAAATAGACTTCTTGAATCTTCTACAACTCACAAATTCTGTGATTATATGATTAGAGAATGGATCTTTTTCCTGAAACAAAGAATTGTACTGTAGTCAAATAAGCCTCTAAAGCCAGATAGAAAAATGTAGAACCCAAGTCAGTTGACAAACCATCTCAGTTTTCCCGGAACTGTTCCTAGTTTTAACATGGCAAGTCCTGTGTCCCATGTATCCTCTCAGTCCTGATAGCCTCAGGTATTTTGGCAAATGGTGTTTTTCCTTTATAGTGGCTTTAAGTATTTTTGTCTTGAATTCTATATTGATAGATAGTGCTTGATTTTGGTGGTAGAGATAAGCAATTGAGTGAAGAAAAAAAATAAGAAAAACCCATGATATATAAATGAGAACCCTTCTCTGGTTAGTGGTAATTCAATGTCATTGAATCAGTCACTTTGGAGAACTTCTCTGTACAGGGCACTGTATTAGGCTATGCTATCAAATGTAGGCATGTAGAAGATTTCATCTCTGTGACCCAGGCTATCTGTGTGTGTTGTGGGGGTAGGTTGGGAGTTAAGATACACCTAAAAATTGTCCCCATATACCTCAAGATGGTACATGATGATTAAATGTGTTAAACTATTCAGGGAAGGAAGTGGAGGCCAGTGAGAACTAGAAGAGGTAGAATTTAAGATTTCAGAGGATTTGGATTGGTTATGGAAATGGCTATTCAGACAATCTAAGGGGTGGTACACACAACGTTATATAGTGCACAGGTCCTACAGGTAAAAAACTATTCATGTGGGGCCAATGTCCATGAAAACAAATACCACTAGTTCAAAAAAGGAAGTTCTTCAAGAGATACAAAAGGGAAGTTTGTGATGATGAGGCATTTGGGGTGAGTTCAAGGGAACTGGGGAAACAGAACTACTATGAAATGGTCTCTGCAATGTTTCTTCTGAGTTTTCCTCTACTTTTTAGGATTATTTAACTTAGGTCTCTGCTGCCACAATCTTGTTTGTTTCTCACCACTGAATTATGGATATTCACATGCGATAGAGGAAAGGGCACAGGCTTCAAAAGCCAAAGAAGCCTCTACCAACTTATTAGCTTGTGACTTTGGATGAGTGAACTAGCTTTGCTAGAGCACTGTTTGCTCATTGATGAAATTGGAGCAAACATACCTACTTCACTGGGTTGTTCTAGAAATAAGGAAATAATTAATGTGTATAACATGCCAGACATTGTAGCTGGAAGATATTAGTGGCCCAATGAATGGTACATTCCTCACCTGTCTCCTTCTAGGGTTATGATCATATATTTGCTTACTTGTCTAAGTAAGAGGCAAAATCTCCTTCAAATGGCCTCAGAAAGACTCACAAAGGAGTGTTCGAAATACAGAGGGAACATATTCTTCATATTTCTGGAAATTCCTGGAGACCTGGAGATTCAACTCCCTCTACCCACACTCCCAACCCTGTAGTTCATCTGTTTGTGTGATTTAAGTTGGGACATTAGCCCCTCTCAGGTCCATAAGAACACAAGTTCCTTTCCTTGACTTGCCTCTGTCTATGTGTCATGCAAGCAGCCTGTCTAGCAGAGCAGATACAGTTGGCTACTAATGATCTGCAAGTGTTGAAAGCTGATTCCTTCCTCTCTGCTCCTGTGCACCAATAAAAACACATTAATAGGCGTAAACTCTAGGGAAAATTTCCCTGCTGCAGGGAATAAGATCTTGTCACTTTACCAGGAAAGCTTGGTTACTGAGGGATCTCATTATCTTCTCCAGGGCCTTTCTTTCTTTCGTTAATCTATGAAGTCCAAGAAGTGTGCTTTCAAAGCTGCTCAATGTCTCTGTCAGCATGCCCTTAATTTTGTAGGAATTTACCCTTCCTCTCACCCCTGCTCTCAGCAGCTCCTAACTCTCCTCTGAGTCCTTTTTGACCTCCTTCTAATTTTCCCCAAACCCTCTTTTAAACTTTCCCTCTATCCCCTCTCTAATTCCTCCATTTCTCATCCAGTCTATCTCTACTCCAACCAGTCCCCTGCTCTCTCCATCTTCCTGTACCCCATCACTCACTGACATGTCACTACTCCTGGAATATTCAAGCTTTGAGACTTTTCATTTCCCTCCCTCCCTTCCTCCTTCCCTCTCTCCCTCCTAATTTACTTGTGTCTTATTCATTCACTCAGATAAACCAAGAAATAATTGAAACACTAGTAGAATTTGAAGGTTTATTGGTTTTTTAAAAAATCACTTGCAAATTTATTTTCTTTATTGAAAAGATGCTGCAATTGTTGTGATAAAGAAACTCTTGATAAGGAAAAAATCAAGTCAATATAACAACTATATTTTTAGATGTTAGTTTCTATTATCTATTCTCATGAATATTGTTAGAATAAATTGTAATTAAAACAGCCCCACATTAATGCAGGGTTCAAAGAAGGGGGCATGTAGGGTTGGTGAAAAAAAATGCAACTCAAAGTTATCAGGTTCAGTTCACAATCCAAGAGGCAGGGTTGTTGTACAGGTAGCCTTATTTCATTGCCAGAGATTCAGTGGAAGATTCTGGGAGCAGCAAATGCTGATGACAGCTGAGGTTACAGAAGATAGGTTTTTTGGAGCAGTCACTAGGACAAAGAATCTACCCAGCAGTTATTTCATCATGATGTCTTCTATTCCACCTGTGCCTGAAGCAATTGTAGTGACAATAACAGGATGGAAAATATATAGTGTGGGTACTCCACTCGATGTTAGAATCATGTGTTTCAAGCCAGTGGATTCCAAGAATCAGAGGGTACCTTGGAGCATGAATAATGTCAAACTGGAGCTCTTCAACATGGTTTCCAATTTTAACTTCAACAGGTGGTGTTTCCTTGGTTATGGGTCCATTAATCAATGTATGGCCATCTACAGTTTCCAGCATCAGAGGAAAGATGTTACTGCCAATGGGTAGCTTCTCTCGAAGAAACACGGAGTGTTCAATGCTGTTCCTGTAGGAGCCTGAATCCACCATAGCTTGCTCAAAGAACTGTTGTCTTCCCAGTCATATTTCAACAGTAAACCATAGTGTACGAGATATGGATACTGGAAGTGAGGGGGAGGCATATTTGTAGTTTGGCCCACCTGGGTTCCCCCTTACCACCGGGCCTCGATGTTTCCCACCTGCTGGGCATGATGAGGCTTGACAGGGCAATCTCTGGTGAAATGACTGGTATGTCCACAGTAGAGGCACATGTGGTCTTCATGATGATGGGCTCGTTCAGCTTCATTGAGGTGTTGGTGACAGCTTGAAGCCTGCACTGGCTGGTTTTCAGCTGGTAAACTCATGAGTCCAGCTTTCTCCTCAGAGGGACTTGCATCTTGTGGACTTGGATCAGGTTTACCACTTCACTTCTCTTCTAGGGAGATGTATTGGGTAATCAGATCAGATAGATTGGTAGCTGGGCTTATGTGAGACAGTTCACTTCAGATAGAACTGGCAAGCCCTTCCTGAAATTGGATGCAGAGAGTGCTTGCACCCAAATTTTGTTCTTGAATAATGAGGTGGAAGTGGGTTGCATACTGGTGGATATGATTCTCTCATTGGCAGAGCTTATGGATGTGGTGATTGGCATCTTCCATATTTTCTGGATTGTCAAAAGTATCCTGAAGCACTTGTATGAAACTGTCAAATTGCTCCAGCAGGGGGCTTTGGATATCTACTAATGGCTGGAACCAGTTTTCTTCTTGACCTAAGAAGTAGTTGCCAACAAAGCTTACTAGAGCTGCTTTGGTGGGATACAGGCACCCTATGACTCTCATGGAACTCTTCAATTGAACTAGAAACTCAGGAATCTTTTGGGTATCCCTACTGAAGGCTAAAGAATACTCTAGGGGGAAATTTTCAGCCTCTTACTCATTGACTTTGGAAAGTCTGAAGCTGTTGTTGTTTCAGCAGCTGTTAGACTGTCCAGGGATTCCTTGGGTGTTAAGAGTCCTAGGCATTCCTGGGCATCTTCAGGATCCTGGAGCTCCTGGGGAGCAGGAAACTCAAAGAATTCCAGGTATCTAGAGGTATCTTGGCATTTTGGTGCCTCCTGTAGCTCCTGGGAATTTGGCGGGTGCTGGGGCTCTAATTTCTGGGGCTCCTGGCCTGCTGGGGTATTCTGGGTATCTGAGGACTTCTGAGCCTCCTTGAATTCTGGGGGTTTATGGTCCTCCTGGGCCATTGGGGGCTTCTGATGCTCCTTAGCCTCTGAGGACTTTTGGGATCTCCAGGCTCCTAAAAGTTTGTAGATTATTGGAGGTGCTTGGGGATCTTGGGTTGTTGGGGGCTCCAGGGACCCTGGAGCTGCTAGGAGCTTGAAGGACTTTTGGGGCTCCTGGACTGCTGAGGTCTCCCAGGCTTGGAGGTCCTGAGACTCTCTGGGCTTCTGGGACTCCTTGACATCTGGGTACTCTTGGGGTTCCAAGACTGCTAGAAAATCCAGGGACTCTGTGGGGTCTCTGGGTCTCCTGGAGTGGTTCATCCTCCTTGGCTGCTTGGGGCTTCTGGAGTTCTGGGATGAGGGACTGCAAGGCAGCATTTTTCTCCATCAGCTGCTGCACTTGAACCTGCAGAATTTCATTCTCTCATTTCAGAGCAATATTGGAGACTGCTAAGTCCTCCATCATCTTTTAAGGAAATGAGGTTGGTTTGGCAGTTTGCTGCTGAGAGAGTAGGTGAGTGCTTGTGAGGTCTTTCTAAAAGCTCCTCACAGGCAGATATCAGGTTCCGTGAGCTTTCCAGAAAATGTGTATCTGTGTCCCACCAAGATTGGTTAACAAGAGGTCAGTGTGAGCCTCCTGAGCTCAGCAAAGGGAGATATTAGATACACTTTGAAGAGAGTGGGATCTGAGGATCAGAAACTGTGGAAAGCACTCATTCGAAATAAATAATAATAAAAGTTGCCCGACGGTGCTGGATTTCTTTTACTATAGGCTTATATTCATGAGCTGGGTCATATATGCTAGCTCTGACCTCATAACATCTTAAGACAGCATCTGATCAAGACTGTGTATTTATTTTGCATTCTTTTTTTGAAACTGAGCATTATAATAGAGGCAATTTCCCCATATTCTTTCCTGTTTTATATAGTCTTTAATTTCTAATGTCTGCTTTAATATCCCAATGTAACACTTGGATTTTAACAGCAGCTTTCAATGACTAAATCAAATGTTTGAACAATGTGGGGATTTTAAGTTCTGTGTGGGCCAACCCAAGAGATATTTTTGGGTGGCTGGGGTAAGAGGTAGGGGGGAGCTTTCTGACACCTCAGAAATCATACCACATAAGTAAACACACAAGATCAGTCTCAGGAGAAAACAAGCAAAATTTTACTAAATATATATATGTTCAGCAGACACATGCACATTATTTATAAAATACCTCAAAATAGTTAGGAAAATAATCTTTATAAATGTACATTACCATTCAGAGAGTTAGTCCAAGAGCTCCACTGTCTGCATACCTGTCGCTGAGAAGGGAAGCATGTGAATGAATGGCTGTGGAGGCATGTCTTTTCTGCATACACTGAACTCAAACAAACACACCCACTCCAAGAACACATTCCAACTCTCCTCTGTAACGTAGCTATTTTGAGTGTGGAAGAATTTTTTTTTTTTTTGGACAGTACCTCTCAGTTTAGAGCCGCAAGCAAAGAAGGATGCTGCGCTGATGTGAGGCAGCCTCATGTGCTCAGTCCTTGGTTACTTTAATAAATATTTGGCCAGGAAATTGGGAGTAATGCCACTGCCCTTGTGAAAAGTTGCAAACATTTCTGAATGACCACAGTGGTTTGAGAGTTTATTTTTTATGTCTGTCTCATATAACCTCCCATCACTCTATCCACACTGGGCTGTTTGCTGAATTCTTACTCAGAGAGCAGCCTGCAACACCTTAATCCCTCTTCCCCACCCACTTACTCCATTTCTAGGGTCCCTCCCTGCAATGTTTTCTTGGGAATTTTACCATGGACAGACCTGGACAAGGTATAATAGGGTAAGATTTTGGGGGAGGCCAACTTTGTTGAAGGGTACTTGTAACAGTCTTGCAAGGTCCTTGGCTTGCTCTGAATGAATGTCTTGGCCCAGGGTTCTCGTCTTTCCCTGAACCATTCAGGTGCTCTAGGAAGCACCCAGGTATCCCACTAATGGCTGGCCTCTTGAGAAATGACCTTGCTCAAGATCTCACTTTCTCTTCTTGTGACAAATCATAGTCATGCCCTGGGCATGGGCCATGTGGCCATTTTAGTTAAGTCTCATTTTTTGTCCTAGTAAGGAGTGGGTTTGGGGACTGTCTTTGGCCAAATGAAATCATACATCAGGTTATTCATTGTCCCAAGTCTCCTTTAAAAATGGTAAGTTTTACATTAATCAACATAATGGGATAAACCCTGGTGATGGAATATTCCCAAGTCATAGCAAATTAACGGACTGAACTAGCTGAACCGGAATGGAGAGGCTTTGAAAAGAAAAGTAAAACCTTTTGCAAATCAAGTGATTGTTTTTCCTTTTGATGTTTTAGTCTTTGTAAACGAAACAGATAAAAACATCACCATCATCAGGAAATAATGTGTTCTAGTTATATGAATTTTTCAGATAACTGAGGTCTTCTCTTTGAAAATCCAAAACACATAGTTGATACTTACCTTGTGTATGTGCTCAGTCATGTCCAACTCTTTGAGGTCCCATGAACTCCAGGCTCCTCTGTCCATGGGATTTCCCAGGAGAGAATACTTGAGCAGGTTGCCATTTCCTACTCCAGGGGATCTTCCTGACCCAGGGATTGAACTCGCGTCTTTCATGTCTCCTGCATTAGCAGGCGGGTAAATGGCAACCCACTCCAGTACTCTTGCCTGGAAATTCCCATGGACAGAGGAGCTTGGCAGGCTACAGCCCATGGGGTCGCAAAGAGTCGGACATGACTGAGCGACTTCACTTCTCTACCACTAGCGCTACTTGAGAAGCCCTGTTTACCTTACTAATTAAAAAAGCTGAGAAATATTTATAGCATGCATTACACTTCTTTCTTCATTCTTAAGTAGATTATTTGAGTGTAATTTATTTTTTAATAGTTTGGGCTCATATTTATATGAACCAGCTCCTTTACTGTGTTTAACACCATGTTGCCTCCTGAAAGTTATCGAGAAGTATAAACCTGTCAGTCTTCAATATCTCAAATATTGCTTAAATATCTCAGAATTGCTATACTTTCCAATTTCTTGTAATTTTTTCACTTTGTATTTTTTCTACTCTTTTGCTATCAGACTGTCACATAGCCCTTTTACACTGTTACCTAAATGCCTGTCCATACTGGTTGTTCAGTCTCCCAGTCATGTCTGACTCTTTGCGACCCCATGGACTAAAGCACACTAAGCCTTTCTGTCCCTCACCATCTCCCAAAGACTGCCCAAGTTCATTCCATTGCATCGGTTGTGCCATCCAGCCATCTCATCCTTTGATGACTCTTCTCCTTCTGCCCTCAATGTTTCCTGGCATCAGGGACTTTTCCAATGAGTCAGATGTTTGAATCGGATGACCAAAATGCTGGAGCTTCAGCTTCAGCATCAGTCATTCCAATGAGTGTTCAGGGTTGATTTCCCTTAAGACTGACTGGTTTGATCCAGCTGTCCAAGGGACTCTCAGGAGTCTTCTCCAGCACCACAGTTTGAAGGCATCAATTCTTTGGCACTCTGCCTTCTTTACGATCCAGCTCTGACAATAGTTCATGACCACTGGGAAGACCATAGCTTGACTATATGGGCCTTTGTCAACAGAGTAATGTCTCTGCTTTTCAACACACTGTCTAGGTATGTCATAGCCTTTCTGCCAAGAAGCAATCATCTTCTGACTTCATGCCTGCACTCATCATCTGCAGTGATTTTAGAGCCCGAGAAAAGGACATCTGTCACTACTTCCACCTTTTCTCCTTCTATTTGCCATGAAATAATGGGGCCAGATGCCATGATCTTAGTTTTTTTTTTTTAATATTTAGTTTTAAGCTGGCTCTTTCGCTCTCCTCCTTCACCCCTGTCTAGTGGCTTTTTACCTGTCTCTATTAAGTGTAGGTAAATTTGGCAAATTATTTAGTCCTTCTAAAATTTAGTGTAAAACTCATCTTATAAAACTATAAAATGGAGCTATTACTTGTACTTAACTTTATAGAGCTTCTTGGACACGACTGGAGCAACTGAACACAGGCTTCCCAGATGGTGCTAGCAATAAAGAACTCACCTGCAAATGCAGGAAATGTAAGAGATGCAGTCTTCGATCCCTGGGTCAGGAAGATACCCTGGAGGAGGAAATGGCAACCCACTCCAGTATTCTTGCCTAGAGAATCCCATGGACAGAGCAGCCTGGCAGGCTGTAGTCCATGGGGTTACACAGAGTTAGCCATGACTGAAGTGACTGAGCACAGCACTATACAGTTGTTGCAAACATTTAATGAAATAATTCATTTAAAAGACTTAGCACAGTGTCTAGCAGCTAGTAACACCCAATAAAGGTTAACTATAATGATGATGATGAGGAGGAGGAGGAGGAGGATTAGAAAATGTAGCTAGAGAGTTAAATTTGCTAGAATTGTGTAAGGGGTGAATAGGGTCTCTCATATGAATAAATTTACAGTGTGTGTGTTTTACAGCATTGACTTTATACCACTCAGGAGCTTTTTTTTTCTTCTTGACTGGGTTATGGATGATGCAGTTTACCAAATGACACTCTAGAATAAGAATTGGAGGCACCTGCCAGGCTTCTCTGTCCATGGAGTTCTCTGGGCAAGAATACTGGAGTGGGTTGCCATTTCCTTTTCCAGGGGATCTTCCCAACCCAGGGATCAAACCTGAGTCTCTGCATTGTACACAGATTCTTTACCATCTGAGCCACCAGGGATGTAGGTGAGCCTCATCTAATCAGGTGAAGGTCTTAATAGAAAAAACTACGTGACTTCCCTGAAAGAGAAAGAGTTCTGTAAGCAGATGGCCTTCCAACTCGAACTGCAGTTCTTCCCTGGGTTTCCTTCACAATCTCATGGTTTCATGAGCCACTTCAATCCCTTTCTCCTCAGCTCTATTTTCTATTTCCTCCCCTCCTCTCCTCTCCCCTTATCCCCCACCACCTTTCTCTCCTGTTTCAGTAGAGAGCCCTAATACATAGGCCTACACTAAAAAGTCATGTATTAAAAGCTATAGTTCAATAAGGAAAAAAAAAAAAACTGAACTCAGAAGTAAAGGATGAATTACCATATTACAAGGATAATAAAGAGAGAGAGAAAAAAAAAAAGAATTGGAGGCACCTAAGCATGAAGATGAGATGATTAACAAAGGGATTGTGGAACAGTCCAGATAGATTTTTAAAAAGTCCATGGACTAAAGCATAGAACAGTGCCTTGCTTACAGGCATATTTATTCAGTGGGTAAATACAAGGACCTCTCCCCCACTCCTGCTAAAGAACGAAGACCAAATTCAAAGTCCTTAAGTACGAGTTTCAAACTGTCTAAACATAGAGAATTATTCTGAGTGAGAAAAAGAACTATGCTGACTTTTTTTTCATAATGCCTAAAGTAATTTTAATATCCTAAATTAGTCAAGTAAGAATAAGAAAGCAAAAACATCCAGACTCTCATCTTGTTTCC